CCCTGTGGTCTTCACACTCGATATCTATGGGCGAAATTCCTTGGATCATTTCGGCCTTATAGGCGTTAAAGGTTAGACATGAGTGTCAAATGATCATATCAGTTACGAATCTAAAGAGGAAATGTGAGGTACCACAGCCTTGCCCAACCATTTGATGTAGCAAACTCCGACAAGAGTTTCTCGTAAGCCTTCGCGTGTCCATGAGAGTGGGCATAGAGCGCCTTGAAAAGGGTAAAGGACTTGTGGAGAACACTTGCTCCATAGGCACTTCCGTAGTTCTTGATGGTCCACGGAGTGAGAAGCAGCCAAGTCAGGAAAAATCACCGCTGTTTGTTGGTGTAGCAGTATCGCTTCTCCAGAATCTCGGAGGGCACATATGTGGTCTATGCATCCTTTCCCCTACGACGGAACCCTACTTGGTTTTCTCGGATATGCCTCTCTGTGTCCAGTCAACCAGAGAACACCTTCAATGCTTCACCGACCAGGCTTGTGCCACAGTAGTTTTCACAGTGTCCGCCTACTCTTTGAAGACCGGGGTGACTGTCGATATGCCTCATTCTACATGCACTTCCCCTTCACTCCATATAGCACCAATAAGCTTCGTTCGGTAGACGGCCAGGGATTTTCCGCCTTTGAAGAACACTGGATATAGATCGTCTGGTTCTAATGCCTTATCACGTTTCAGGCATGTCCCACACTTTATTTCTTATGACGCTCCATGCGCCCGCCAGAGTTGTGTTGCAGAAGTTCATCCAAACTGTCATCGAACTGTGCGGTCCTTTTTCCTTTCAGTGCTTTTGCCACTGATTTAATGTGCCCTCTTACACTTATCACCTTCATCATCGGAGACAGCAAAATTGGTGTTGGCACATGCTTCACTGCCGTACAATCCTGCCCTTGTACAGTCATGATACTTTTCATCTATTGTTTCGTTGGCTATCACTATCCGGTAGCAAAAGACCTCCGTCTCCTGAGCTGCAACTGTCCACCGAAGCTCTCGGTCTTTCTATAGGCTCTCCGCTATTAAGCGCTTTCGCACTCTTTCCCTGCTAGTTTGGGTTTACTGGAATCAGTTAGGACTAGCGACCTTGTCGATATCTNCGGTCTTTCTATAGACTCTCCGCTATTAAGTGCTTTCGCACCCTTTCCCTGCTAGTTTGGGTTTACTGGAATCAGTTAGGACTAGCGACCTTGTCGATATCTAGTGGTCATTTCATCGTATTGGAGAAGTTGGGCAGTGCTTTGATCGCCACTAGCGTATCTTCGTTCATATTTTACCACACTGCATCCACATGCTCGTTATCAGGGTCGGTTTTCTGCGGAGAGTAGTTGAACCAGTTCCGATAGATAAGCTGGTGCCACAGGTGTCGAATGTCGTCAGAAGTTGTCCTGGTCCTCCCGATTCGAGAAGTGATCTTATCTCCAGCCACGCTATCGCAACTCATACAACTTCCCGGGTAAATAAATTTGTCTTCCTCATCGATTGGCTGGTCTGCCAGCGCAAGGCTTTGGTTTGATCGCACGCAGTCTTGTACCAGCACTTTGCAGTTGTGCCATGCATACCCAGCTGTGGGGCAGAACTAAGGTGAACCGGATAAACCGATATAAAGATAACTGACAGTTTTCCGATAATTCGTGAGTGATACATTAGCAGTTGTCCTAGCATATAGTTCTATGTTTTTGTGTGCAAATCTCTATGGTAAAACAAAACAATACGGAATGATGTACATCGGGATATAATGCATACAACTGTAAATTATAAGACCCGTGACTCTAAAAACAGCACCATAATACAGCCCTGCCCCCCCCCCCCCCCCCCCTGTGCGAAATTGACAGTGCAGCTTGTGTCTTTACATGAGGGTGGGTATAAAGGTCAGTTACAGACTTAGGGTATCTGACTGCTGTCATGGACTAGCTTTGGATCAGATGTCAGCCAGTTGTCTAGGTCCTTTAAACCAACCGGTCTAATTAGTCACTGTTCAGCATCAATATTCCTACGTGAGTGTAACTTCCATATGAGAAGTCGTTGGTCGACGAGCCAGTCAACGCATGGGTCCCGTGATTGAGGGCTTAGTGAACCTCTATCCTGTCTAAATGCGAAATAGTCACACTGTTGGTCAGTCGCTCATGATCGAATGCTTAATTGTTCATACCACTAGCCTAGAGGAGTGGATTCAAAACCCCCTAGGTCTCATGAGGGGTGAACGAATCACAACTTTAGTGTTCCCGGATTTCCAAGGCGCATTTGACCCAGTTGTCTCGTCTGCTCTTCTTAACACGCTTGGTCAGCATCGAATTCCCCGAAAGTTTATGAAAATAGCAAGCTTCTTCCATTCCCATTTCCGGGCGTGTGAGAGCATATGTAGGTCTCTCCAAAAGCTTTTGTGCATAATCCTCCTGTAAGAGTGCCCGTTATCACCATGACCATTTAATTCTGTGATCGGTGAAATAATGAGGCGAAAGCTGGAGGGTATTCAAAACCTTACTGTTCAAATAGCTGCTGGCAAAGATCTTGTTGCTCTGAAACTTCCTGACGACATCGTTCTCGTCTTCGAAAGGGAGAAAAAGCACTGGTTTATTTGAATGAACTGGTCAAAGTCATCAAGTCCTTTAGAATGCAGTCACCAAAGAAAGGTGCCCGAGGTTTAGCGTTTTATTTATATTGGAATTTGTATAAGTCCCGATCGCAGTTACACATGAGGTCAATGAACGAATCTGCAAGATTTAGGTCGCGTTTATTCAGTTGAGACAAATTTGGTGGCAAAGTAGCATGTCTCTGAATCTCAAGGGACGTGTATATCTGGCTACAGTATGGTTGTTGGAGGTGAGTTCATCGAGCAGTGGAACTGAAACGCCTTCGACATCCGTTATCTCAGGACCCTAATTCCCATAAGCTGGTGCCGGCGAATCCTTAAAGAGCTAATGAGGATGTGATTGTTTGTGCAGTGAGGACCGACCGGTGAACATACAAGCACCAAAAGTAGTGTTTAGACCATATATTTCGCATGACGAGTTATCGTTTGCCAAAAAATGCTGTTTTCTGTGCCCAATTAAGAGTGCTGGAAGCAAACAGGTGGTCAAGCTTTGAACTGACAAAGGGAAATGAAACATTACGAAATGTCTGGGTACTGTCAATGTGACTGGCCCTCTAGGATGGGGTCTACACGATCGTCCTATGCATGATTGAAAACGCTTCACGCGACAGTTGCGTTCCTGTTGTCAGTCTCCATCCATATTACCTGAATGAGTGTCTAGAGGGATGTGGGTGCGTGGGTTACCTCTCCACCAACTTTTACTTTTCTACAATAGTGACCTCATAAGCTGTGGTTGTACGGCTGCAAATCACCACTGTCGAAAACTGAAGTGATGCTGTGAGGGATGATGACTCTGGCTGCTGATGTTCCCTGATACGAATTAGAGAGCTGTACATTGCTTCTAGGATTTTGCTCGCAGATTGGCTTCACTCACAAGACAAAATCTGTATTTGAAGTTCCCAAATTTGCTCTACCAACACTCAGTAAAGAGTACTGGTTTGGCCTAGACAACTCGCACTTTTTAAACTCTCGACTGCTTCCTCTGGTAAGAATGTCATTTTGACTACTTTCCTATGGTGGCGCGTTGACGTGCCAGTAGTTTTTTGTTTACTGGAAATGGCTGAATCCTGATTTCAAACCACTCACGGATAATGTGCAGATGAGTGATGAATCGTGATGCAAACCGGATCTCAGTTGCTTATCCATAGTCTTGGGGAATGAGGAACATCGAACGGTCACGATGTCTAGGCTCATTTAAATAGCGTTTGAACTGCACTCACACCCACTGTCTGCTAGTTTTACAATACCGAACTCTATTCGAATCGTTCCACTGCTTCGCGGCGAAGGCACTTTGGTCAAGGGCTTCACCGACCACAAGGGATACTTCAACCTGAGTACTGTTCATGTGACTCACATCCGAGGAGGGGGCATATTACTCTTGTGCTTGGCAGAGTATGCTGATTTATGATTGGAAATGGGTTTCAATGGCGTTCTTGACATTCCTGTCTAGACTGCGAGAGAAGTATTGCTTGTAATGACACTAGGTTCCTTCAACCCTACCACTCCACAATAAATTGTGGTTGTACGGCAGTGAAGTATCTTCAATATGCATATAATACCGTCAATGGTGATGGTGACCTTAACTGAGGTCATGCACAGTACCAAGCAGGTAAACCACCTGTCTGACAATTTACATGCATTTACATAATCTCGCAATGCGGATGGAGGTAAACTGGGTGAAATGCGAATGCAGTGAAGTATCAGTGTCAACACTGATGTTGTCTGTGGTGATTGATACGAATGCTATACGCATCGTACATATCGAATCTGACTTTCCACGAGTCACTTATGAGTGAACATTAGCTTACCGCTTGCTACCTTTATGGAGAAATGCATAGAGGAAAAACAGACGTTTTGCCGTAAGAATTTTTAACCATCCTTTTTCCTGCCAACTAAGTTTAACTATCTCAGTTACAGTCCTTTCTATTTTGTTTTACCTACTTATTAGAGGGGGTTATTTTTTCCCAGGTCGCATCCCACGTAAATGAAACTGGTGCTCAGGAACACAAAACTGTAAGCCTGTCTCACTAGTTTGTGGGAACTCGCGCTTGGATCCCGTCCACACAATTACATATCTACTTTTCTACCCATTGCAGCAAGAGTTTGACGCTTGCCGTTGAAGTCCGCCTAGATCCATTCAATCCACGAAATTTTCTCGGCAACTGAGCGGTTATCGCCTCTTGCATCTATGTTGAATGCTTGTATGATCCTCTTCCCGGCCATGTGTTCGCATTCTTAATCCTCAAATGCATAATTCTGCGGCGCAGTTCATTTTGGATATCGTACTCCTCTTGTTGCATGTTTTAACAGTACAGACTCAAAATTGGTGGAATTTCGATGAACAGCTGAATCCGTATCAAATACCGAACTTCACGCCTTTACCAAACCGGAGGTTTACTCACGAAGTTGAGGTTGGCAGGTATGGCCCAATGGTCAACGACGTGATCGTGAACATTCCAAAGTAGTGCTGCTTTTTCTTATCTCATTACGGTAGAGCTGGAATGGGAACATATATAGGCTCTTCAGTTTCTGTCAATTATGACTACACCTGGTCCGAGTGGCCCCCACAAAAAGGGAGATTAGTTAATATGTTTCTCGGAATCCCCTATGCTGCTCCTCCAGTTGGTGATCTGCGGTTCCGGGTAAGTCTTAACCTTTTTTATAACTGGTTCAGGTACCAGTCCCGGCTTATTTGGACACGAGGTATCCCTGGTATGCAAAGTTCTATCGTCCTGCGTGTGTTCAACCCAGTGATCTGCTCAGCACTTTCATAACGAATTTCACGGACATTTCTGAGGACTGTTTATACCTGAACATCTTCACCCCAAACGTGAGTACTTCCTAATAATGGTTTCAGCATTTGGTCCCAGTGTACATTCACACCTGCAGTGATTCTCTACTTTTGATTCACACAGCTAATTTTAGTACGTTTGGGGCTTGAGTTTGATCTCTTGGTTATCAGCTATACTTTTGAACAGAGGGGAGACCATAAAATCCAGCATTCCTAAGGTGTGGAATGATAGACTGCTCCGAAAAAGTTCAGAAACCAATCGGTAGGCCTCGTGACCAGGTTACAAGATTGGTTGAATTTTGAGGCAGAAATAGAACCAATCAACAAGCTCTCATCCAACTAGCAGGCCAAATCAATGTTTGTTAGTTAGTTTGGTCAGGGGCGAGACGGACCAAGTGATTAGAGCTCGGATTTACTGACCAGAAGATCCGTGGTTCGAACCCGAATTCTGCCTCTCGACTTCCCCTGTCCAGGCTTGGGCGACCTGGCAGTATCCCAGCCCTCGTGTGGCATGACAGCTAGGCACCGAAAGGGTGCTACAGCTAAACGATTATAAAGTAGCTGTGACCCATTATATCCCACATCCGTACTGACTTGAAGTAAGGAAATCACGGACTTTCGGAGTTCAGTAGTTTTGGTCAACACGTGTTAAAGCCGATGGGCTAGAGGAAACTTCCATGAATTTGGGCCACTTGTAGGGTCTGCTTCTCCCGATTCGTTCCATGTGAAGATTCTTGAGCATCGTTTGCAACTCCGGTTGGTCTGTGTGAGTGAGCTAGCGCTCCGACGGTTGATTAAGGGAATTTTGATCTCATTGGCCTCTCCAGCACTTTCGCCAATGATTCCACTTTATTAACAACACACTATCACGAGTCGATTCCTAACTAAGACCGCTGGATTTACGTTCTCCATGCTTTCTGTCGGCGAATCCGTAATGAGACAGTTAGAAAGCGCGTTTTCGGTTGTGTAACGGGTACTTCCATTGAAGAATGTGTCCAGCACCAGAAGCTGCGTTGGTTGGGACATGTGTTACGTATGTCGAACCGTCGTTTGCCGAAGAGAGTGCTGTTTTCCATGCCCAA